CAGGAACGGTCGTTCACGTCCATAAGAAAAATGAATCATTTGGGCTGTAGCCATTTAGAGGAATTAAATTCTGGTGAACTATGTATGTGGAACGACGGGAGGATATAATTTCCTAATCGTCTAGCAATATTCATATAATAAACAGATCATTATTTTGAAAAACGAAGGATAAAAGGATAAAGTCTTTGAGTTTCAATCAACCCCGTCTGAGAGTGCGCCTCGCATTCGACTTCCAGTCAGAACCGTAGTGGCGTATTGAATGCGTATGTGGCCTATACCATGACTTACGTTGGCCAGCAACTATGCAAGTCAGCGCTTTTTTCCTCCCAGACGGGTCTGGTACCATTAACCGACCCCCTAATAATGGAGGACTTCATTGGCCTGGGCAGGTGTCGAAACTTCATTTCAAACAATAATTTTGGATTTTTGGTAACCAGCCAAAGAACATAAAGCTAAAGCTTGCATCTAAACAAAAATACTGTAACAATGAAAGAAGAAATTTGAGCTCTCTTAGAAATTTGCTTCCCAGTTTGTATTGTCGAGGATTCCCATTACTAATAATTAATGGTCCACATTTCGAGATTCCAGATGAGACTGCAGTAGTTTACTTTTAAAAACTACGACTTTTTAATCCTGAAAGCCTAACAACCCACCTAGGTAATCCACTACATCCCCGAAATCCACATGTCTTTGCACACAACTGCAGATTGTATCTGAAGTAAACAATTGATAAACAATCAACAATTGATTCGGTGTATAGTAAAATGCCAAGTGATATGATTATACCTTTACTAATTCATGAATCCAAGACATCCAGCCGCAACAGTGTGAATAGCTTCTCGATTCTTATCGAAGTTTTTCATCAGTAAAGCGGATCGGTTCCCGCAATGACTATACTCCACGGAATACTTGTACAATCTAGTTTTTGGGGTGGATATACTACCCTGATGCACCTTTTTGGGGAATTTGGAGTGCATCTCCTGTCGTCAAAGTTTATTTTAGATGGCCATACAAAGCAAAAACGAAGCAAACATTTCCTCCCACCGGTCTGCAGTAGCTACTTGATCACTGGATTCGAACCTTGGGATTATATGGAGCAAATTCACTGCCATTACACTAATAGAAAAATTCGCTACTCCAAATCAGCTACGAAGTAAAATTGATCCCAATGATTGTTACAGATTGAATCCTATCGATTTTCAAAGGTTATACTATCCTCACACGCTACCGTATCTTTTGCTGTGCTTCACTCCTAGATTGAAAGCCTAATGAATGTGTTCAATTCAAGTGAGTTCCAAATTTTGAGAACGAGAAGTTTGTTTACTGGGGTTTACCGTAACCGTGAAAACACGTCCCTGTGAAGTAGAATGTGTTGAGTTCTGCGTTTTTGCCTTTTTAAAAATGGAGCATTCACAACACCTTCTCAAAATCCATGCTCTATATGGTGGGACGAAAAAAATGGCGATCAGTGGATCAACCACACATGGCAATGTTCCAAGAATATACGGAGTATATTCAACGAGGACAATTTCCGATCCAAAAATTGTCGGCAGCTGGACTAGCAGTATTCCAGGCACGAAGCAAATAATTGGAACCATGGCTTGTACTGTGAGAGCCTGAAAGAAGAAGGTTTTCTCAAATAACCACAGATAATTTTCATAAAATCCTAAAAGCTCGGCTCGTCAGAGTGAAATCTCGTAGCGCATCACTCATAGGGACATTCATGGCATGGTTTCTGATATTTTTCCCCAATATGAACCTGTGACCCCTGTGACCCTCAAGAATAGCTTAAAAGACGCTGTCGGGTAGAAAAGCAGTCAATGTGTATTGGGCGTGATACGGGCACCCAAAGAGACCCAAGGCGAAGGAGTTGCTAAGGGTCGTGAAAGCCGTGGAGGTTGCACCATTCACACTGTGTAGGACCATCCCTTTCAGTACTTCCGGTTGCCGAAGTGCTAATATTTCACAAACGCGCCTTAGTTTTTGACGCCATCAGTTACCTCTCAGTCGTTTTTGCAACGCCATGACACCAACTTCCTGCTCATTTCTGGACAGCCATCTGCTTTCACTACGTTGGCAGGCATATACAGAGTATGGTTATTAGAAGGTCACCTTCAAAAACATCTCAGAGCTCTGCGCTGTCCTTCCTGACAATTGCTGATTCTTGATGTTAAGCGTTTTCAGTATGGAATATCTCAAAAACAAAATAGCAATTGACGACGCTACTGTAATCAGAGCAGCCATAGCCGTCTTGATGTTGTGGGGTGTATTTGCCAATTTGAAACCTCCAAATTCATCGTATCTGAAAAATAATGAATCAGAGGAAAGGAGGGAGTGAAAGTAGGTGTATGTAGCTGGATGAAAAAGACAAATATACTTTTCAAAATTATGATGAGGATCCATACGGATCGCATTTTCCATGACGCCATCATACTGTCGAAATCCAAAGTTCACTAAAATCTGGAACAAGTCAATAAGGTTTACGTAATGGAACATACAGCTGGAGGAAAGTGGAAGCTAAGAAAGTAAGTCAGAAGTTACTGGAAGGCATTCCTTTGCTTCTCAGACTTGTATTACGGAAAAAGCCAGTTCAAATTTGTATATTTAAGAAAAGGCACAGTTCACGATAAAAACGGTTTCTGAGAAATTCTAGTCCGATGAATTTGTGGCCCGACTAGATAGCATGTGTAAGTCGAAAACGGCTAACATAGGGCGTTATGAGGGCTTAAAGGCACAGTTCACGAAGTTCACGATGAAAATGGTTTCTAAGATTGCCCTTTAATGAATTCGAGCACCCCTCGTAAACCACATACATGGTGCTATCAGGTCGGAAAACCGAGTAGTTAGGGCGTTATAAAGGTCAAAAGATTGTATCATGTGTACCCTCGGACGAGTTTCACCGGCATTGTAGAGACCGCACCGATCACAAAGGAATCCATGTAGAGAGTTCAAACAACTTGTCATGACCCATAGCGGCGTCAGTGAAAGGCAGTTCTGTACTGTTCTGGCTTGATAAAGTTTGCTCTTTGCGCAATTGCAACAACTGAAATCTCGTCCGAATACCCCTTTCATGCCATTTCCGTCGAGGTAATCTCAAGAAAGCCTTCTTTCTGACTAAGTCAGCGGATTTTCTCGCTCTCTATGCCATTGATGCACTAATTTCAACCAATACCTCCGCTTTTCCACTTTAAAAGGGTAGCTCAGAATTATTGTGGACTGTGCCTTCACAAAGTGGGGCTGTGAAAATGAACTCACCACTATCACTAATGGCCAAATTGCCATCATAACAAAACTCAGCAGAAGTTTTGCTGTACTCATCGGCTTTGTTTGTAGCATACTATAACGACAAAACATTGTATGAACTATCATTAGTTCTACATAGGCTGTCAGAGCATAAATGGAATCGCAGATGACGAGGTATGCAACAGGACTGAGCATACGAGATGGCCCTGCTGGAATAAACGTTGTACTGTGAGTGCCCGGTACGACCCTGGAACCAAGTCTTCATTGAAAAGAAAGAACAAACAGTAACCCAGAAACCCTGCAGTTTCCTTATGGATGCACGGTATACTGACCTTCCTTGCGAAAACCATGATAATAGTGCTATGACGATCTGAGCTGTAGATATGTTCATCAGCATGACCTTCATATTTCGAACTATGTCGGGAGTTCTGAAAATCAATGATTGACAGTAACTTTTGAAAACTCCCAGTGGGTGCTCTAAATATGTAGCACAATAACATCTTGTTTCTTCCTCCTTGGTATAAGAGATTGCTCTGATATGCTATTCAGAATACTCACTGGGAGATCAGTTGTTGATTAAGGGGGAGCTCTCGCTCTTCAATCATCAAATACTCGTGAGAATAAATTGAAACCATACTTTCCTAGGTCTAGGTCCAATGTTAAAGCCAACTTCTTTGTCAATCGGGCATCTTCCGAATTTCGTGAATTTATGAAGGATTATGAATGGATTTATGACACCCCCTGCCTAAAACTTTGTCGCAGTTCAAAAAAGCCCTGAACAGTACTTGGCTCGAGAGCTACACTGGTTTGGTTCATTTTAAGTTTGCTCAAGTGGAGTTTTCATAAGGTGTTATTCCACATTTACTGGCTTTTGCTTTGATCAACTTTTTTTACTGCCTGTTTTTCGTTGATAGTGATATATGACAGTGTTTTCATTCTCGAGGACTCGTCTAGTACCAATTAACCGACTCCGGGAGGATGAAACGCCTGTTGGTCTAGGCGAGTATCAAACTATCACTTGATCTTTGAACTGTACGTATGTGATACTTTTCAGTTAAACACCTCTAACCTCCCAATGCTAATACTACTTTTGATGTCGAACAAGCCCGAAATTTTGAACTTTTCTGATCTTTTATATCTGTGTTGAGTTTTCCTCAGAAAACCTTTAACTCTTCCTTTAGTATAAATATATTGTAAAAAAATACCTGTAATTGATAAGATATAATAGCAACAGATTCGTACCCACTGCAACGGTAACGAAAATAGCATAATAGCAGTTAATGAAGATTGGGTCAAAATCAATGAATGTCATTTCGCATTTGAACGCTTCGTCTTCAATTTACCTGAACTTCTAAATTTCTTTCTTCTCTGTGAACTGAATGAAGTTCGCAATTATAGAAAGTCTTTAGATGCGAACTTAATTTTTAGGAAAGGTTCAGGGGTTGGTGCTGATGGTCCTTTTACGCTCGACGATAGGATGTCCCTTAATGCTACAGTAACGTGTACTTGGATTAAGAAGCAAGTATGATAAACGGCCTAGCTCTAGAGCTGAGCAGAAGGGAACGCGCGGCGTGGGGTGTATTCAAGGATATCGAGGAGATAGTGAAGAAGGCAAAGCTTATTCGGCTCCGCGCTCAACTTTTCGACACTGCATCCTTCTGCCTTGACTAACATCCTACTCGCTACAGAAACTCGGACTTTTCGCCACTCCGCGGAATTCAACGGGCGGTGGGAGGTGAATGGTACGAAGTTTCTCAATTCACGCAAGTGCGGTGGGAAATCCTGTGCTACGAGTTCCGTGATCAATCGTAGATTAGAGCTTCGTTGCTTACGCCAAAGTATCAAAGATGAAGTGAGACGTTGCCCCAAATGATATCGTTATGACCGTTGGACCACGACGATTACCGACTGGACTCCTCAGGATGTCAAATGCACACCAGAAGGGTCGCCGATGCTATGGTCAAATTCATGAAAACTTTGAACGAAGGAAATGCTATCGCTCGAGGGAGGACGATCCACTAGAGCATTTTGGTTTGCAACAGGCACGAATGGAGACATGCTTGGCACCGGTTCGAGGAAGTTGATGATTAAGGGGGTGACAGGTGATACAGGTTATCGGTGAAAAAGGTTCGTAGGCGGGACAGCCTTAACTGACCGTCTTTATTTCAAACCTTTTGTAGAAAAGAATAACTCTGAAATGCTTCGCAGTCCACAGGGAAGTGGGCGAAGAAAAACAAGTGAGCTGAGACGGTTGCTATAGAAGCTCGCTATAACAAACGTCTATCAGAAATTCATGCACAGCCCAACTGTTTTTAATAATTCCAAAACATTAAACATAATTCAAAGATTTTTTCTGGCTACTTGTAATACCCCTAGTCCCTTCTCTCCCACCCTCCCTTACACTAGTCGATGCTCTTTCGATAGTTGCATAGGTAACAATAATACACTGGAGGAAAATATCAGTGGGAAAAGAGAATGGATATGCCGAGCCCACTGAAGCAATGCTATGCTTGGTTGGCCTTCTATGGGCTTGACTGTTGTTACAGGGGATATTAGCGATCAACAGCACGCCAGAGTAGCTTAATGAAATGGGACAAACATATTTTGAAAAGTAAATAACAAACTTGAAATTTCAGCCTTTTTGAAGAGTGCGCCTACCCCAGAAGGTAATCATTGCGTTTTATAATTTTACTAACGGAATCTGCGGTGCCACCCACCTATAGTTTCAAGTGTAGAGCCCGTTTCTGAATCATTCCAGTAACTGCTGTTGAGTTGCCTCAAAGAACCGGAGGCAAAAGAAAATTACCAGGAATAGTGCTGGAAAAATTAAAGTGAGAGGCAATGTAATTGATTTGCTCTGACAACAATGATGATACGGAAAAGTATTTTTTATTGGTTCGAAGGTTCGTTCAGATCGTCTACCCCGAAGGTCAGACCATTATTGCACGAGGGATCGACACCACTGCCGGTCAGTAGTTGGGTGTTAGTGTTAGTGGCGGTGGATCGACCTTTGAAGAAAGCGATCCGGTGGGAACGTCAAGCCAATGATAAACAGTTCCGCTTATCAATCTCGTCCACACAGCAGAACAATTGAATTAACTTCAATGTCGAGGTTTTATGGAAAGAGACAGGGAGCCTGTTGAAGGTAAGGGTGGTGAGAAGTAATCGACAAATGCAAAAAACCAGAAAGGCCCGTGAAATGAGGTCTTTTCCTGAAGGAAGTTTCATAGAAAAAGAGAGCGGAGACAGTACCTACTTTGTAATCGTAACTGCTTTACTTCTTACCTGGCTAATCCACTACTTCTTCAGGATCCATTTGTCCTTGTACACAATTATAGATTGTACCTGAAGCAAACAACTGGTAAACAAAAACAACTGATTCTGTTTATAACAAATTACTGAGCGATATGTCTATACCTCCACTAATTCCTCGATCCAAACCGTCCAGCCGCAATAGAGTAGAGAGCAGCTCAATTTTTATCGAAGTTCTTCAAAAGGGGCAACCGGGTTCCACAGTGACTATACTATACTTCATTTCTGGTCCCCTTACTACTTAGCCGTGTCTTTAGGGAAGTTTTAAGGACACCTTCCGACACCATAGATTATATTAGATTGTCAAATAGAACAAAAAAAGGGGAAAACGTTTCTGTCCAACGGTCTATGGTAGCTTCTTGATTACTTGATTCGAGCCTTGGAGTCCCAGACGACTGATTTACTGCCTTCATACTACTAGACAAATTTGGCACTCCAAATCGCATACAATGTCATGAAAGCCATTCCGACTGCCCAACAAATGCAATAGATTCGATCCTACCTATTTTTCAAAGACTATGCTGTTCTAACAGGTTACGGTATTTTTTTCTCCGTTGCTATATTTCTAGATTGTATGATGTAAGAGCTCCAAGTTTCAAAAGTGAGAAGGTTGTTTACTGCGGAATTACCGTAACCGCGAAAATACGTCCCTCTGGACTACAATGTGTCGCGTTTTGCGTATTTGCCTTCTTAAAAATGGAGCATTCGTGATACTTTTCCGAAACCCATGCTCTATACGGTGGGACGAAAATAAAGGCGATCAATGGATCAATCACACATGGCAAACATCCAAGGATATACGGAACCTGTTCAAAAAAGACAATTTCCGTTCCAGAAATTGTCATGATTTGGCTTAGCAGTAGTCCAGGGATGAAGCAAATAATTGGAACCATGGCTTGCACTGTGAGAGCCTGCAAAGAAGGTTTTCTTGAATAACCAGCTATAATCTTGAAAACACGCTTTGTCGGAGTGAAATCTCGTACACATCGTTTAAAGGCGTAGTTCACGTCAAAGGTGGTTTCTGAGATTTCTGCCTACGATGAACTTGTGACCCCCTGAGAACAGCCCAGGGAACGCTGTCAGGTCGAAAAACAATCAATATAGGGCGTAATAAAGACCCCAAAAACTTTCTTGGCCGACGTATACACCCAAGGCGGACGAGTTGTTAAGAGTTGTAAAAGCTGTAAAACATTCTCACCGGGACCCACACCTTGCACGTAGGTAGCTTACTGCAACCAACTGTAAGAATGGCGTGTTGTTATGTTGTTGCAACTGTTTCTCGAAAAATTCTGTCATCACTGCTGTAGGACCATCCCTCTCACTACTTTTAATTGCCAAAGTGCTTATATTTTCCAAACGCGCTTCCAGTTACCTCCCATAAATCGGGACCCTCTCAGTCGTCCTTGCAACGCCCTGGCACCAACTTTTGGTTCAAATCTGGGCACCTTCTTTCACTTCGTTAGCAGGCATCTAGAGAGTATGGTAACAGGAGGCTCACCTTCAAAAACATCTCAGAGCTTTGCGCTGTCCTTCCTGACAACTGCTGATTCTTGATGTTGAGCGTTTTCAGTATGAAATATCTCAAAAACAAAATAGCTATTGACGACGCGACTGTAATCAAAGCAGCAATAGCCGACTTGATGTTGTGGAGTGTATTCGCAAATTTGTAACCACCAAATTGGCCATATCTAAAAAACAATGAATTAGAAGTAAAGAGGGGAGAAAGTTGGCGTAGCTGGATGAAAAGACAAGTGTACTTCTCTAGGTTATGATGTGGATGCATACGAATTGCATCTTCCATGACGCCATCATACTCTCGAGATCCTAAGTTTGGAATAATCTGGAAAAAGTGAATGATGTTTCCGTAAAGGAACGTACTGCAACGTAAGGAACTGTTGGAAGTGATGTGGACCGTAAGAAAGCAAGTCAGAGAAAAAAGTCATGATAAAATGATTTCTTATATCTCTCGATAATAAAGGTCTATTGCCTTCAAGAATAGTACATGGACCAGTGTCGGGCTGAAAAACGGCCAAGACAGGGCGTAATGCGGGCTCCGAGAACGGGCTGACCGACGCAGACACTCGAAGTGGCCGTGTTATGCCGGCCTTGTTATTACTGCAATATTCACAGGACTAGATGAATAGTACGCTTGAATGAGAGACACCCAGACAGCCATCTCGCACAAACCCCCTTGCTTGCTATGGCTTTGAAGTCGTATATGTTTAAAAATCCTAAAACTTTCCGCTTCACTTGCCATCCTTTCACTGTTACGCACCAAAATTTCCAGTATTCCTCTTGAACTAAACGTCTCAGAATTATCGTGGTGATAGGGTTGTGAATGAACTCACCACTATCATAAATGGCCAATTTGCCATTATAACAAAACTCAATAGAAGCTGTGCCGTGGTCATCTGCTTTGTTTGTAGCATTCTAAAACGACAAAACATTGTATGAACTATCATTAGTTCTGCATAGGATGTTAGAGCATAAAAGGAATCGCAGACGACGAGGTATGCCATAGGACTGAGCACACGAAATGGTCCTGCCGAAATAAACGCTGTACTGTAACTGCCCGGTACGACTCTGAAATCAGACATGTTTTAAAAAGACCGTTTCCAAATGGATGAACAGCTTACTGACCTGCCCTGCGAAAACCATGCCAATAATGCTACTATGATCTGAGCTATAGAAATGTTCATCAGCATTGCCTTCATACTTTGAACAATGTGGGGAGTTCTGAAAATGAGCAATTGGGCTTAAGCTATGAAAAGGACAGGGTCAGATAACTATGTTTGGTACGGAAATAGTACGAAACCTGCGTCTTCGTTATGCCAGGGTTATGCCAAAAGGCGCCCTACCTCCCGGATAACTCTGGGATCGAGTCCCGAGTTAGTACACATCTGGGCCAAACAAGCCTAATGTCTCTCCGGCATCATTTTCTTGGTAAAATCTCGTCTAGGAGAATAAAAGTTTCGGGCTGTATAATTGCTGCCCCTTGCAGTTTACTGTATTCTCTCAAGAGCCACTGAAAGCCATTGATGGAAGTCAAGTGTGTGGCGTACATTCTACGAAAGGGATCGATGCGAAAAAATCGCGCATTGCCAACCCATACTAATATGGATAAACAGTAAAATCCTTTGCGTTAACCAAGCCCGTTTTTGGGTCCAGCTTCCATTCATAATCGTAGTGGCGCGCTCAATATGTGGCTGCAAAGACCAGTGTTGACTAACCCCGGTGGCTGAGTTTTCCTTCTCCCATATACCACTTCTGATACCATTTACCGACCCTGAGAGGATAGGCTTGCTGGCCTGGGTGAGCATCGAGCCAGGATTCGATCCTCGGACCATCCGTGTGTGACGCTTTCTACTTAACCACTCAACCCACCAATCCTAATATTGCTTCTATGTGAAACAAGCCCGGCACCTCAAATTTTTTCTTTTGAGATGTGCTGAGTTTCCCTTCAAAAACTTTCCATTTTTTTTTCTGGAACGAATATATCGCTCAAAACATACCTATGATTGATAAGATATAGTAGCAACCCATTCGTAGATACTGCAAGGATAACGAAAATAGTATAGTAGCAGTTAATGAAGACTGAGTTGAAATCAACGAATGTCATTCCGAATTTTAACGTTTTGACTTCATTTTGCCTGAATTTGATTTTTTTTAACTCAAAACTTCATATTCAGGAAAAGCTTATGGGAAACAGGATGTCGTCTGATTGCCCTTTTACGCTCGACGATATGGATGCCCCCTAATGCTACCGTAATGTGTAACCTGGATTAAGAACTCAACATGATGAGCGCTTTATGTAGCTCCAGAGCTGAGCAGATGGGAAGCGCACAGTGTAGGAGCATTCAAGAATATTGAAGAAATAGTGAAGAAGTCAAAGCACATCCCCCTCCGCGTCCAACTTTTCGTAACTACGGTACTTCCCGCTTTGACTATGTAACTCCTTCCCGCCTCAGAATTTCGGACTCTTGGCTAGCCCGTATGGGAGGTAAATGGTTTCTCTACTAAGGTAAGTGTAGTGGAAAATCCAGTGTATTCCGCGCCCTGTCAGTGAACAAAAATCAGGGACTTTGTTGCTTACGCCATCGAATAAAAGGGGAAGACGCTCATGCGATTCCGTGACGACCGTTGGACCGGGTCGGTTACTGATTGGATGCCTCGGGACGTCAAACGTACATCAGGAAGTACGCCAGCGTAATGGTCAGGCTTCTTAACGAAAGCTCTGAATGGAAGGATACTATTCCCCGATGGAGGATGTATTAAGAGGAAGTGTTTTGGGCGAGATATCCACAACCACCCGTCTTCATTTCAATCCTTTTGTGGAGAAAAAATGAATGTGAAATGCTTTGCCGTCCACAGAGGTGTGGGCAAGGGAAAACAAGTGACAAGTGGGATGCTGTGACTCTATTTACTTGACGTATTTGCGAATTGTGGTTACATTTTCTACGGTTACTATAGAAGCTTAGTCTAATAAACATCTGACAAAAAGCTATTTTAATAATTCCAAAATATTTGGATGAATTTCGAAGACTTTTCTGGCTACTTGTACTACCCCGCCCCTTCTCCTTCTTCCCACTTTTCCTTACACTAGATAACTTTTTCGGTATTTGAATAGGTAATAGCGATAATACACTGGAGAAAAACATCTGTAGGAAAAGAGAATGGATATGACGAGCCCACTGAAGCAATGCTATGCTCGGTTAACCTTCTATGGGCTTGACTGTTGTTACAGGGGATATTAGCGATCAACAACACGCCAGAGTAGCTTACGGAATTGGAGCCACATGAGGAAGCTAACAATTGAGAAACGTATTTTGAAAAAGTAACAAACAAACTGAAAACGCGTTTTGAAGGGAGTGGAGCGCCTACTTCAGAAGAGATTTGTTGGCTTACGACAATGAATGAACAATGATTTCACATATTACCACATGAATCTGCGGTGCCACCCACTCTAGAAAAGGCGACTCGGTTATTAAATGTTGAAGTTTCGGGAGGCATTTGACAGGGCACGACGTAAAATGTTCTATTCAAACATTTAGTGTTTATTACAATTCCTATAGGATAAATTCAAATAACTAGAATGTTACATTTACAGATGCATTAATTCCAGTCAATAAACATAAACATACAGCAATAATCAATGAATCAAACATCCCGGACAGGCTGCCCAGAGGTGGTCGGTCAAAAAATACTTCAGTAGAGTGATGTTTAGAGCTAATGTCATAAAGCCAACGGATATTTGTTTACTTCGTAAACAACTTAAACTTAATACCTAAACAATCAGGGACCCTGGGGGACTCCAAATAATCGCCACTAGGCTCCATGCAAATATTAAAAGTATTTTATATTGAAATTCTATCGACTCTATGATCTACGATTTTTCTCCGTCTGCCTAGCAAGTCGATGATGCCCTTATCCAGAATTTTCTTCAATCAGAAAGACTGGAGTCCTAATTTTTTTTTTTCGTAGAAAAGAAAAGGAAAGCAGGGAGGAGCGGTAGAAATTATGAGCAGAGGAAGAAAAGAAATTTGATGCCCGCAGAAAAGGCTTTTTTTATTAGGAAATATGATTTCCTTCGCTTATCACCTTTCTTTTCTTACTTTTCCTTACTCAGCCCTCATAGGGATTAAGCCACGACTACAGAAACGTTGACCTGCTACCTACACGGTGTAAAGGGTAAGCCCCTTCAGTACTGTAGCATTTCCAGTGAATTATTTATTTATTATTGATTGGAGACATAAATATAAATATTCTCACGTGAGAACTTTTTCACGATTGAACCATTTCGAGGTGAAGTATTCCCTGAAGCTATCATGTACTTAATGATATTCATAAAAAGTAAACTTGTGAACTTCAGTAGTCGCTGAAGGTCCACTTTGAGTCCATTTTTTCTAGTTCTCAATTTTAGGTGTAGCCATTAGTATGTAGTGATGGGCGGAAGTGGTATTGTACGGTTCGGTGTGCTACCCGTCGTGCTTTTGGGTTCCGCTTTCAGGGAGGTCGGTCGTCTACAAAGCTTCTCCAAGACCCATTCTCTGTAGGGTGGAACAAAATAGAAAGCGATCAGGGGATCAATCACACATGGCAAAGTGGCAATACAAATACGAAGATATTCACTGATAGAAGCCTCCGATCCAGTAGCCATTGCTAGAATGGATAGCGAAACCGTTGGTAGGAAGCATATGATCGGAACCATGGCTTGTATTGTGAGAGCCTTAAGGAAAAACATATTTTTCGTCAAACAATCATGTCCTGAATCGAAGGAGCTCGAGCCCTTATTGTCAGACCGAAACCTCAAAAACAATGGCTCATAACATAGTTTCTATAACTTATTCTTATATTTTTTTAGTTAGTAACCTCTGAATTATCGTGAGCTCTGCCTTTAAGCCACCACCTAGCTAATAGGTAACCAAAGTAACGTGCATTCCAGACCGCCTCTGATGAATTTTCAGTCAGATGAGTAGCTGGCAATAATTGGAAAAGAGCCAATGGAGCCTTATTGGAAAGTTGCTCGGATACTTTATCGTCTCCACTACGAGCTCTGAGCTTGAACTCTGGTTAACAAATTAGTGGAAAACTTTGAGACAGCTGAGTTCCCCTACAAAATGTTTTTGGTGAGTCAATCGTAAATTTAGGTGGAACGTAGGTTGATTCGATTTGATTAATTATTTGGCAACAAAAAGCGATCCCTTGAGGCTGTTCGCCTCTAGCGCAACTTAGTTAAGTCAAGCACAAGCCAGTCTCTAAACCAGCTTATTTTGTAAGCCTTTCTTCTCTAGGCTTAGGATCACATCGATATAGGCGGTCCCTATAATGAAGAGGCTCACCTTTAAGAACATCCTAGAACTCTGCACTGTCTTCTCGCTGTACTGGTGGAGCGTGTTGTTCAACGTTTTCATGATCAATCGTCTGAGAAACAGAATAAGAATCGGTGAAGCTGCCGCTATTCCACAAGCAATGACCGCACATATTGTCTGGACGAGTTTTCCCGTTTCGAATCCTCCAATGTCACCATATCTGAACAACGATAATTCATGGACAATTCAACGGAGAGAGGGTTTGAGAACAAACTTACTTTTTTAAATTGTAATTACGATGTTCATTGATTGTTTCCTTCATGACAAGGTCAAACCGTAGAGATCCAACGTGCGGCAGAACCTGCGAATAAGGAACTTGGCTTTGGTTTATACTCTCGAATTTTCTGCATAGAGAGGATGTGGTGTAGGAGTATCAAGGGAGACACACATACTTACACAAACACACACGATCCATGATGAATCGAATCCCGACCATCAAGCCTTTCATCCCTCTAATATAAAGTAAAACCAGTTTATTGGTCCCATCCTCGTCCAGCAGGATAAAATCACTGATTGTACACCAGCTGGCCACCGCACTCATTGTACAGACCACGTGTTTTCGATATGACACTAGGATCCGGAATAGAACTCGGATGCGGGGCGAATCCCAAGTCTACGATTAGGACTCTAAAGTTTATCCTGGGCGCACCTACACACCTACAAACCTACAGAGTTACACGCCCGGGGATTTTTTAACCGGAATAAGTTGAGTAGAACTCACCAACAGCAATACCGGCCAAATCGCAATCAAGACGAGAATCACCAAAAGTTCTAGTGTCTTTATCTGTCTGGCCTGTAACTTCCGATAACGCCAAAACATTGTATGTACTATCAGAAGCTCCACATAAAATGTAAAAGCATTAATGATGGTGTAGCCGACAAGGGCTGCCATGGGACCCAACATACGAAATGGACCCTCTGAAAGGATTGCTGTAGTCGAACTGTTCGACATCATTCTGAAATCGGGAATTCCTTTCGTTAACAATTTTGATTTGAATTTCTTAAACTCCCAGGGTTCACTAACCTTCCTTGCAAGAGTCCTGCCGTCAGTGTTATAAGGATTTGCACTGCAGATATGTTAATCAACATAACCTTCAAACTCCAAACAATGCGGGGACTTCTAAAAATGAGCGATTGAAGTATTTACAGCCAAAACAACAACAAGTAACAGCTCTTCCAGTGGAAACAGTAGAAGAAGGCAAGTACGCTGTAAACCAGTAAAGTTTGGAATGCATACCTATATCTGACGAGATATATCAGTAAGCCATTGGTAGATACTCCGACGATAACGAAGATAGCATAATAGCAATTGACAATGAGCGGATTGAAATCGTCAAATTCCATTTCGAGTAGCTCCCTCCAATAGCTACGACCAACACTTCTGAAACCAAATTATGCAAGACAACACGCATGAAATGGTCGAAATCATGGTCTAAAATTGCCATCTGCGTCATGGATTTATAATAGAAGTAGAATTAGACCCCGTTTGAAGCTCAGTTAGACCTCATTTGGAGGTCGGTCGGTACCGGTATGAATTCTACTAGCAGAAGGTGTAAGGCGAAAGGGCGTGCTATCACACGTATGGCCCGGGGATCAATATAGTGTCCTCACTGATTTCGACCAGGCATATTCCTTCTATATCAATCAGCCAGGACTGATTTTAGGGGGGAAGAGTTGAAAAAATGTGGGATTATAGATAACTAATAGCCCAGTTTCCTGTGGATATAAAGCGATGGGCGAAGGTGAAGGGGGGTCAAGTAATACACCCTATCACCTTCGCCCATCGCTAATCAAACGCATAGTCAAACGAGGGTAGAACCCCAGAAGTTAGCCGTCCAGGCTATCCAAGCCTTCAACTTTTCGGGACGCAAACTGGTACGGCTGACTGGGAAGATGAAGCTCTGACGTGTACATTGCCTGGCTACCGCAAGCCGTTGTATAGGTTAGAAAGGTATTCAAACGTTAATGCAATTCTGAGTGGTAATCAAATGAAGGATCCTTCTTATATATAAAACAGTAACTTGGTTTGTCGGTTTGTCGGTATGTCGGTTTGTCTGTATGTCGGTATGTCGGTATGTCGGTTTGTCGGTCTGTCCGTCCGGGTTACTTTATGATTATGATAAAGGTAGTGCTATGGAAAAGTTATCCTTCTTATATACAGAGCAGTGACTTTGTGGGTAGGTCAATGGAGAAAGGGAGCACTGCGGAGGGAAATGAGTAATATGGAGTGAAGTATTAATTATTTCGAACTGTGATTTCTACTGTACTATACTGGCAGTACTTCGGCACTGTCACTTGATCGACACTGGCATGATAC